CAGTTCCTACAACCGTTCATCGTATGTTTTAGCCTCCATTCCCCAGTCATCCTTGTTGCTCTTCTCTGCATGCTTCCTAGAGTCTCAACATCTCTTTTTATAGTGTGGTGATCAAAACTAGATGCAGTACTTTAGGTGTGATCTTACTAGGGCTTTATAGAGGGGTGTTAGTGTCTCCCTTGATCTTGAACCTCCATCCTTCCAAGGTTGGTAAAATGAGGACCCAGATTGTTGGGGGCAAATATGCCGACTTTAACCGTATATCATATGTTTTAGTCTCTAGTCCCCTAATCAATGGTGGGATTCAAATAATTTAACAACCGGTTCTCTGCCCTAATGATTTCTTCCAACAACCAGTTCACCAAACTGCTCAGAAAGTTAACAACCAGTTCTCCCGAACTGGTGCGAACTGGCTGAATCCCACCACTGCCCAAAGCCCTTTCATTACATCATCACCCAGCAACAGCTCAACCAAGCTTGGGACACAAGACAGCCTATAAAGTCAGCTAATACCCCCTTGCCCCCTGGGAATCTGAAATGGGATACATTTCTTGGATAGGGACAGGGAATTCTAAGGTTGGGCCCAAGAGAGGGTATAAAACTCAAAATCTCTCAGCATCTCTTCCCTTTTTCTTCAAGATCTTCAAAGGCATGTGATCCCCTTTTTGCCCAGGACCTCAAGCCGTGTGGTCCTGTCCACTGTTAAAACCATCTTTCCAAGCAGCCTCCATGTTTTCCAGTGTCCTGCCTAGGCAGGAGGTTGGACTAGAAGACCTCCAAGGTCCACTCCAACTCTGCTATTGTATTGTAATGTATTAGGATGGGCATTACGAATGTGGCAGGTACTGAGTAAATAATGAGATAACACGAAATACAGCTCATTGTTTATCTAGAACAGTGGGCTCAACCTTCCTAATGCCGCGACCCTTTAATACAGTTCCTCATATTGTGGTGACCCCCTAACCATAACATTATTTTATGTGTTCCATATTTTTTTCTGAAAATATCTGTTTTCCGATGGCCTTAGGCGACCCCTGTGAAAGGGGTCGTTTGACCCCCAAAGGGGTCCCAACCCACAGGTTGAGAACCACTGCTCTAGAACATCGCTTCTCAATCTTAGTGGATTTTTAAGTTGTGTGGACTTCAAATCCCAGAATTCCCCAGCGAGGATGGTTGATTTCCTCAGAATTCTGTGTTCAGAAGTTTAGACCCGTTTTCAAAGTTCTGATATCTGCCCCATCTGCAGTCACGTGACTGCATTTTTGGGTGCTGGGCAACAGGCCTGATTTATGGCGGTTTGCAGCATCAATTTATGTCAAAAACCTGGGTTTAACTTGGTTGATTTCCAGCAAAAACTGCCCCATAACTAATAATGAGTTTGCTTAATGACCTCTGCAAGAAAGATTGTAAAACTGGCTCCCATTCTTGGTGACTCACTTTACAGGGGCTCAATCATGGTCATAACTCAAAGGAATGCCCCAACATTTAAGAAGATGTTGGATAGCCATTTGTCTGGAATGGTATCGGGTTTCCTGCCTAGGCAGGNCCAGTATGTAGTTATGTATTAAATCTTGGTATATTTTATACAAGGACGTTTAAATAATTATAGTCAAATGAAAATGGAGATATGATGATGGTAATATGCATAAATATCTTAGTTAAAATACTTGAGTTAATATGAATTATGTTTGTTGACCGTGGAAGAGATGCATAAAAGTCTTGTTGTAACCAACTGATATACTTTCTACAGCATGTAAAGAAGGATGTTTGTTTTGAAAATAAAAAATAAAAACATATTATTAAAAAAAGGTTGAAAACTAAGATTTTATTAAAATGTTATTTTTAAAAAAACAGCTACAAACTAGGTATGTAACTTGGATTGTTTTTACCCTAACTGTGATATATTTGTAGAAATAATAAACCCTTGATATCTACTCTTTCCCCAACATTTAAACATGGCATGAGAGGAATTATGCAAAAGGATAGGATATTTATAAACTAATGCTTCCTTCTGAATGTGGATCAGTGATTTTTGGGTTTTATCCAAAGTACAAGGTTCACACATCTAGTGTTTTCTACAAAATAAACAAATTGCTGTTCAACAATATTAGCTAACAAATACATTTCAGAAATGTTCAGGACACGATACTAGACTTCAATAAAATTAGTCTGAATACTAGATATATAACTACCTCTTCCCTTTCCGCATCCACTCAGTTTCACAACCTGTCCAAGAAGCTGCAGTTGAGAAGAAGGCGGTCTTATATTGACTTGATTACAAATAATGTTTGTATTCCTTGTACAATGGGCTAGTTTTGAGTTGGGTATAATTACACACCATATTCTGTAACAGAAATAATAGCCTTGCTTTGAGGGTTAGATGAAATAGAGAGTTTGAAAGTACAACATAGTCCCCACACTTTCCAAAGTAGTTATGTTTGCCCAATGAAGCATAAGAAATGCCAAATGATTCAGATTCATCCTAATATATTTTTCTGCATGCTTATTCATTAATTTCCCATTAAGAGACACTGTCAGTAATACCGCATTGTCTAAAACTGGTCAGAAGTTACACAAGTAATGAACAATGCAGCAATGTTTGATTCTCATTTTTTTCCACATCTTCTCCCATCTAACAGCACCACTGCAGGCTGCAAAAAAGGGAGCTCAATCTCTTTATTTCTAGCATGTCTGTATTACTCCTTCAATATATGGTCCACCATAGAAAGTGTCCTCACATATTGTATTACAGTATGGTATGCTGGTTTAACAGCTGCAGACAGGAAGGCACTACAGAGAATGATCAATTAGGCACAAGAAACCATTGGTTGCCCTCTGACATCGCCAGATCTTTCTGCTTTAGCAAAGTATGGAAGATACTCAGAGATGATTCACACCCTGGTCAGTGTCTCTTTGCACGTCTACCATAAGGCAGAAGACATCAAAGTATAGCCAGTCGAACGAACAGGTTTAAAGATAGTTTCTATCCTTGGACTGTGAGACTTTTAAATACAACCACAATCACTCCATGCACAAGCTAGTTTTTTTTTCTTTTTCTNTTGTTTGACCTCAGGGGGCGCATGTGGGTGTGACCAGGGTGGGCGTGGCCAGTTCAACGTCACTCCTGTCCGGGGCACCTGTGGTGGTCCTAGCGTTCTGCCAGCAAAAATGGGCTCCCAAGCTCCATTTTGCGCTGTCACGGCCTCCTGTAAACTCTCTGCCAATGAAAACTAAGTTCGGGAGTCACGAGTTCCGTTTTCACTGGCAAAGAGTTGCAGGAGGCTATGGCAGCCAAAACAAATGGAGCTCAGGAGCCCATTTTCACTACCAGAAGCACCACAGGCCAGTCCTTCGCTGTTTCCAGGGTGACCCCACAGGCCAGATCTAAGTAACCCCATGGGCCATATCCCCCCTCCCCCCAGGCCTTGATTTTGATACCCCTGCTATAAATAAACAGATCGACAGATCAAAGCAAAACTGAACAGAAAATTCATCAGTTAAAAGGCTATCTAGAGGAAGAACTTCAATATAGTTGCAGTAGAATGTGAGAAAAGGGAAAATCAACCAGTGGGAAAAATAGATATTGGCACTGTTAGAATTACCTTATTTTATTTTTAGCTCATTGTCTAGCAATTAGATATGTGTAAAAGCTAGTGATTCATCTGGATCATGCTGGATGACCTCTTCTGGGAGTGGTCTGGCAGCTTTTCAGAAGTTCTTCTCTGCTGGAAACTCTGATGCTTGGGATGAAACAGGCCTGCTTTTGTTAGTAAAGAACTTTAAACTTAATCTGTTTATCTATTCTACCCAGATCCCCCCCCCCCCCGCCGCCCGGACCTTTACTGTGTGCAAAGTTTAATACAGTGACTGCCTGCCTAGAAGGGTGGGAAATCAAAAGGGATATGGGATGTTTAACTTGATAGTATTTAAAGATGAATTCCATGTTAAAATTATGAAAATTTGTGAATATTTGTGCCTCAGTACCACAGTCCCTGTAGCATGGTGGTGCAAAATTCTGTTGGCATCACAAGTATTAGGTGGAGGAGATTTATGATTTGATGGTAGTTTCAGGTGGATCCCAAGGAGTAAAACTGAAAATCCATAAGGAGCTGAATGGATTCAATTTTATCCACATTTTAAATTTGGTTTCGCTTAGACTATAGAAGAGTTGGGGATGCGGTGGCTCTGCGGCTAAGACAATGAGTTATCGATCAGAAAAGTCAGTAGTTCGGCGGTTCGAACTATTATTTTGATTTGGAAATTTGATTCTTGAACTGTTGGGCTATAACTGAGGAGTCCCATATTCAAATCTTCACACAGTTAAGGTGTGTGCGTCTTGCTACTGGGTGATTACTAAGCCTTAGTCTAGCACAGGGGTGTTAAACTCAAGGCCCGCGGCCTGGATCTGGCCAGTGGGATGCTTAGATCTGGCCCGCGGGGCCACCTTGAAAACAGCGAAGGACTGGCCCGTGGTGCTTCTGCTAGCAAAAATGGAGCTCAGGAAGGCTGTTCTGTTTTTGCTGGCAGAGAATGGCAGGAGGCTGTCGCAGCCGAAAATGGAGCTCGGGAGACCATTTTCTCTGGCAGAGCACTCGGGCTGCCACAGGTGCCCCTGACACAAGTGATGTCAAGCTGGCCACGCCCACCCTGGCCTCCTGAGGTCAAACACAGCCCTGATGCAGCCCTCAATGAAATCGAGTTTGCCACCCCTACTCTAGCATGTCTCATAGGATTGCTATAAGGATAAGATGGAGTCGGATATAATGATATTGGAAGAATAGCCATCTTGAAAGAAAAGCAGGATACAAACCTGTGAAAATGCTACAGTAATCTATTTATATTACACAAACTTAAGCATGGAATGATAAATAAATTAAGCAGGATCGTGAATAAATCCATTCGCTTTAAGTTAATAATAAAATAATCATCGTGTATGACTATTGATGATTTCAAATTACTTTCAGGTCTCAACATATTCTAACCTTTTCCCCCCCCTGTAGATCAGGAATCAGGCAAAATCTGTACTGGAAAAGGAGCTGTGACCCTTTGGGCATCTCCAGCTTCTGAGAAGAGTCCCCGGGTTAGCCATCCAAAGTCTACACAAGACAGCCAGCACCCCAAAAGTAAGACCCAGTCTGGGAGATCATAACACAAAAAAGCAAAATGATTTATTGATCCTATGATCCTTGATTGGGTTCAGAGGTGGTATTCTGCTGGTTCGGACCGGTTCACCCGAACCTGTAGCGGAAATAGTGGCTGGCCCCGCCCATCCACTCCGACTCTATGGTATTCCATTTAGGCACTTTTTTTAGCCAAAGTACATGCACAGAAGGCTGAGTGCATGTGCGCGCTCGCATTTGCGAACCAATAGAGAAGGTAAGTGAATACCACTCCTGATTGGGTTAATAATTAAGTCCCTGGTTTAAAAAGTGCGCCCCAAAATTAAGCATGTAGATTGTTAACTCAAATGTGCATGCTGGGATTGGATTGATTAAATGTTAGCTGAATTTCAAGGATGGATTAGAGAATATAATTGCAAATGAGCAAACATTTCAAATACACAGTGCAAATTTAAGTGAAATAAAGAATCAGCAGTTGAACATGAGAATAATGTCTCAGAAATTCAAACTGTGCATTTTAAGTTTATGTGAAATACTTGAATTCATTATTTCAGGATTAGTAAAAAAAATCACATTAAGGTAATGTTTTAAAAATCAATTTACATAGAAGCTCAAGAAATTCTGTTTTTATTCTAGTGATCTTTTGTGGGAAGGAGAAATATCTTCTACTTGAATGGTTATGATATCTCACTACAATGGCATTTTGTTGTGTTCTCTTAGAAAGATATATATATAATTATAGTAAACAAACTCTGAGCAAGAATATTTAAATGGGTACTGAGCAGGACGTGCCATTCTCTAGGATATTTTTGTAATCATGATGACATAGAGTCACCACACTGTTAATTTCTGGGTAAGCACTACTATACAAAGTGTAGAAAAAAGGAGTGAAGAAACCAGAGGCAGAAGATGAAAAAAGAAAGATTAAGATTAAGATTTAATGGATTTGTATGCCGCCCAATCCCGAAGGACTCCGGGCGGCTTACATAAAAACAAGTTAAAAATATTAAAAGGATTTAAAATACAAAATTGAATTCAGTGTAGCTTTCTGTATATTCATTCCATTCACATAATGCCTCTCCTTACTTTGTAATCTTTCAAGCTATCCTTTTTTCTTCAACATCCATACGCATATTCATACTTTTTTAAAAATAGAATTTTTAGTATATACCGTGTTTCCCCGAAAATAAGACAAGGTCTTTCTTTTGACCCCCAAAATATGGCCTGGGCCTTATTATTGGGGGGAGGCTTATTGTTTTGCGGTTGCCGGGCGGCTGCTCTCTTGCGAGTGAGCTCCTGAAGAGCCGGGCACAGCCTCGGAGACAAACAGCTATGTTACACTTCTGTTGCAGCAGTGCAACATAGCATCCATGAGGTGACCACGCTCACAAGCAGCGCCCGGTAACCCCCCTCTCCAGCCGGACAGAGCATCACTCATCGACCTAGAGGTATCCTAAAGGTGCCAAGCGGCACAATGCTTTTGCTCTCCCCCGATCCCGTGGTTTCAGTGAATGGCACTCTGCCTGGGGGACTTATTTTCGGAAGAGAACTTATATTTTTGCCCATCCCAAAAAACTGGCATGGCCTTATTTTCAGGACATGTCATATTTTGGGGGAAACACGGTAGTATACAAAAAAAGAAAAAGTATAAAAAGAAAAAAGAAAGAAAACATAGAATTATGATTCCTGTGCTTATTTCTATCAGTTGCTATTTTATTCTTTTCCCTTCTTCTTTGACCCTTTGTAACCCCCAAATCCATAAATCATTAATTCAGAGAACATAGAATAATAGGGTTGGAAGGGATCTTGGATCAGAGGTGGTATTCTGCTGGTTCTCCCCGGTTCGGGCGAATCGGTAGCTGTAGTGGTGGGAGACTCTGCTCATTCACACAGATGTCATCACAGAGGCTCTGTGCATGCGAAAAAGCACCACGTGCGCGGTCCCTTTTCTGAACTGGTAGCAGAGGTAGGAGGATTTCATGCCTGCCTTGGATGTTTTCTAGTCCAACACCCTGATCAAGCAAGAGACCCTATATCTGTGATGGTGAACCTACGGCACGCATGCCACAGGTGGCACATGGAGCCATTTGTTAGGGCACGCAAGGCGTTGCCCTATCAGCTCCAGCGCGCTGGCCAGCTGACTTTGGCTTTCATTTTCGCTCTCCAAAGGCTTCCCGTTACCTCCTTGCCATCATCTCTCAATCATGGACCAATCATTTCCTTGACTTTTTTTTTTTTTGCTTTTTATATGTTGAAAGAAACATTTCTAAAATTATTTTGAGCATTTATTGCATGCATTTGTTCATTTTGCACCTTAGATTTCCTGACTTGGTCCTCACAGATTTGGATTATTTGCTGGTAGTGTGTTTTAGTTATATGTTCCTCTTTCCATTTTCTATACTTGTCCTTTTCCCCTCCTCTCCGTTTGTTAGAGAGTTCTTTATGAAGTCATGCTGGCTATTTCTGAGGTCTCTTGTTTTCTTTCCCTGTGGTATTGTGTTGATTGGGCTTTTATAATCTCATTTTTCAATTTCCCAAGCATCTTGTTTTCCTCTTTAGGATTTCCGTCCCTGAAATCCTCCCTAAA